TAATTTTCTAAAAATTATGATCATTCTCTAAATCAGTCAATGTGGGTCTCCCTTCAAGTCGTGTGGAGCCTCTCCCCTTAATAAAAGTTCAACTCATTCTTTGGAGTCTTCGAACAAAGTAGGTTCTTTGTTCGACACTTGAGTCACTTTTGATTACACTTTTGAGTCTCACAACTTCTTTGTTCGACATTTGAGGATTGACATGACTAAGTTAAGGACATGACTCTGGATACTATGTTAAGAACCAAAACTCTCAACAATTATATGATATTGTTCACTCTGAGCATAAACTCTCATGATTTTGCTTTCGGGTTTTCCAAAAGACCTCATACCAATATAGATGTATTCTCAATATTCAACTCGTCTTTTTTGTTTTTTTTTTGAAGTTGATCGAGTCGGGTGGGCCCCTCCTTCCTCTTGAATGCTTTAAATGAAAACTTTTTCTATTGTAGATTGAATTATTCCCGTAAGTGTCAAAGTGGTTTGCCAAACATACTTAGACCTTTTTTTTGTATTGGGTCAATCCGACTAACTCAAAAATAGGGTTACAACCTCTCTCGACCTTACCTAAGATTATTATGAAGATTAAGAATATTTAACGTTTGTAACCAATGTTAGTAATGTGTTAACTTGTGAATGTTTGATATTTGAGTTTTGATGGGATTTTAGTTATTGATATAATAGGTATGGTTTATCTCATAGCTTCTCGTAGAGCCTCCTGCACGGGAATCATATTAGGTCGAGTTGATTGGACTTAGGCCGCAAAGAAAAAGGTTAAGTGAATAGAAAGGGGACGAGACATGTCTTGGAAGAGGTATCTATCTATCTATCTATGATGCATACCAATTTTGAATGTGTAGACATCCAGAATGGGAAAGCAAAGGCCCTTATCAACAACTCAAATCCATTGCCTTCCAACACCAATTTGTAAGAGAATAATATGAATGTTTGGAGTGAGGAATCAAATTTTAAGCCTCTTCTTGCAGCCTACTTTAAACGCAACCCTACACCACACTTCTCCCCCACTTACTCTTTCAACCTTCCAAAAAGTAGTCAACAAAGATAACCTACTACAACAAATCATAGTGTTTTTAGTCACCTTGCCATGTTGAGGTGCTCGATCGAGCCTCGAGTCCTTCCTTTCTGACTTCCCTAGAGCCAATTTGGGTCGTGGGCTTGGTTGGCTAGGTATGAATGGTGGTCCGATCGAGTCTTATGTAGTAAGTGCCACCAAAGTCTTATATTGGCTAAAGAAAGGAACGATCAGGGGCATATAAATAAGGGACAATATTTCCATTAGCACGAGGTATCTTTTGTGAGATCCCACATCGGTTGGAGAGTAGAACGAAGCATTCCTTATAAGGGTGTGAAAACTTCTCCCTAGTAGGCGCGTTCTAAAATCATGAGGCTGACGATGATACGTAATGAGTCATAGCAGACAATATCTACTCACATCAGTTAGAGAGGGAAACGAAGCATTTTTTACAAGGTGTGGAGAGCTCTCCCTAGTAGACACATTTTAAAACCATGAGGTTGAAGGTGATACGTAATGGGTCATAGTGGAGAATATCTACTCACATCGGTTGGAGAGGGAAACGAAACATTCCTTATAAGGGTGTGGAGACCTCTCCCTAGTAGACGCGTTTTAAAACTGTGAGGCTCACGGTGATACACAATGGGTCATAGTGGAGAATATCTACTCACATCGGTTGGAGAAGGGAACGAAACATTCCTTATAAGAGTGTGGAAACCTCTCTCTAGTAGACGCGTTTTAAAATCGTGAGGCTGACAATATCTACTCACATCAATTGGAGAGGTGAACGAAGCATTCCTTATAAGGGTGTGGAAACCTCTCCCTAGTAGACGCGTCTTACAACCGTGAGGCTGACGGTGATACGTAATGGATCATAGCGGACAATATCTACTCACATCGGTTGGAGAGGGGAACGAAGCATTTCTTATAAGAGTGTGGAAACCTCTCTCTAGTAGACGCGTTTTAAAACCGTGAAGTGGACGGCAATACGTAATGAGTTTGTTTTGTTTATTTTAGTAAGGTATGAGTGGCACTCACTGTCAAGGGCCATAGAGTGAGTCAATAATGAATGTGAAAGTGGGGTGTCGACACGTGTTATGTTGGAGGTTTTCCATCGTCGTCTTCCTCCTTTGGTAATGTGAAAATGACAGCACCGCCCCATTTGAAAGCTCTTCACTTTATTCAGTAAGCTGTGATTAATAGAAGGACAACAGATAAGAAATGTGTGTTGAGGGATGCCTTTCAATCTTACCTTTTGTTCTTTCACCTCCCAACTTGCTCCATACGAATTTAGCTTGATACCCAAATGGGCGTTGTTCCACTGGAGGAGCATCATAATATGTCAAAAGAATATATGTTTCTTTTCATTATCCCTTACGTTTTTAGGTTTACTCGTCACGTGTTTCGCTTAATAGCTTCTAGAGACTAAGAATGTACATTTGTGGCCAGTCCAGATCTCACATCGGTTGTAAAGGGGAACGAAACATTCTTTGTAATCCACCACCCTTCGGGGCCCAGCGTCCTTGCTGGCATACTGCCTCATGTCCACATCCTTTCGGGGCTCAACCTCCTCACTGACACATCAACCAGTGTCTAGCTCTAATACTATTTGTAACGGCCCAAACCTACCGTTAGCAGATATTGTTCTCTTTGAGCTTTCGCTTTCAGGCTTCCCCTTAAGGTTTTTAAAACGCGTCTACTCGGAAGAGGTTTTCACACCCTTATGAAGAATGCTTCATTCTCCTCCCCAACCGATGTGCGATCTCACAATCCACCCCACTTCGGGGCACAGAGTCCTTACTGACACTCGTTTCCTACTCCAATCGATGTGGGATCCCCCAGTCCACCACCCTTCGGGGCTCAGCATCCTTACTGACACACCGCCTCGTGTCCACCTCCCTTCGGAGCTCAGCCTCCTCGCTAGCACATCGCCCGATGTTTGGCTCTGAGACTATTTGTAACAGCCCAAGCCTACCGCTACCAGAAATTGTCCTCTTCATGTTCTCACTTTCGGACTTCCCCTCAAGGTTTTTAAAACGCGTCTATTAGGAAGAGGTTTCCACACCCTTATAAACAATGTTTCGTTCTCCTCCCCAACTGATGTGGGATCTCACAATCCACCCCACTTCAAGGCCCAATGTTCTTGCTAGCACACCGCTTCATGTCCACCTCCCTTCGGGGCTCAGCCTCCTCGCTGCCACATCCCCTTGTCTGACTCTAATACTATTTGTAACAGTTCAAGCCTACCGCTAGCAGATATTGTTCTCTTCAGACTTTCACTTCCAGATTTCCCCTCATAGTTTTTAAAACGCGTCTGCTAAGAAGAGGTCCACACCCTTATACCAACTGATGTGAGATCTCACAATAAACCTCTCACTAGTAGATTCGTTTTAAAACCATGAGACCGATCACGATACGTAATAGGCCAAAACAGACCATCTGTTACACTTTTAATCTTTATACCTCAGTTTCATCATTTATTTTCAAAATCAAGAAACATGCCTCAAAGATCAATCTTATATAATTGAACACTTTCTTTCTAAAACAATAAATAGTTGTCAAATTTCGAACAGTTTCGATCGTTTGATCCTCGAGACTCGTAATAATGTGAAGATTCAAAGCTAAATTTACCCTAACCCAATTATTGAGGGAGTGATTTAACAACACATTCCCACTACAAATACAAATATCTTTTGAAAGCATAATCTTAGTGATGCATAGCACTATTCATGAGGTCTCCACTCATCACAGAGAATATCAAACTTAAACCCACAAAGATGTCCATTTTTAGCAGCTTAGCTACTCATTCATATGGTTTTCTTAACTTCTAGATATCAATTTTGATGCCTTTTCTGATAAACCCTCTTAGTTAGTGCTTGTGTTGGGATGATGATGGTGACTCCTCCAACCATCCATTTAAAGTTGAGACTGTTTTGTGGCTGATAGAATGTGGTTGGGTCCGACGTTTAAAGTTGATATACATCTTTTCTTTGCTCAAATTAGGTGCTTCTTTGAAAGAATAAATTCAAACACAACATGTCACATTATACCTCCTTCACTCCCCCTTTACTTTTTTAGAATAATATTCACATTTCACGACAGATATCAACAATATTCGAGCATAGTTCAACTGGTTAGATGGGTTCGACCTCTTTACTCTCACGAGTATATGTATATGTGCTTCTTTGAAAGAATAAATTCAAACATAACATGTCACATTATACCTCCTTCATTCCCCAGATATCAACAAATATTTTAGCATAGTTCAACGGGTTAGATGGGTTTGAGCACTCGACCTCTAACACGAATCTTTACTCTCACAAGTATATGTATAGGTGCTTCTTCGAAAGAACAAATTCAAACACAACATGTCATGTTATACCTCCTTCACTCCCCCTTTACTTTTCTAGAATAATATTCACATTTCACGACTGATATCAACAATATTTGAGCATAGTTCAACCGATTAGATGGGTTCAAGCACTCGACCTCTAACACCAAGGGTTTTTTTTTTCTTAAAACATAAACCCTAGATTTCTTTCTGATTGAAAAGGTGGGAACTTTAACGTGTAAACCCTAAATTAAAATATGGGTTTTGTTCTTGACTACCTTAATTCAAATGGGTCTCACTCATTTCAAAGAATTAGTCAATAGAAAAAGAAAAAAAGAAGATGAGAATCATAACAGACTGTGTTGGAGTTGATTTTTTTGTGCAGATTTTATGGCAAAACTCAGTCTGTACCACACAGTACATTGAAAATTACTGTTTTTCAGCTGAATTCTTCCACTTTCTCGTGTGAGTGCCTAATTTGGGGTATTTTGATCTCGTGAGAAACGGTTGAATTTGCAGTAAAGAGAGGGAAAAAAGGAATCTCAAAGTATCTACTTTTTTTAACCATTCTCTGCCCCAAATTCTTCTCAAAGTTTGCTATAAATAGCCACCGTTTGTAGGGAGTCCTTTGGTAGGCACTCAATCATTCATCTTTTTCTTCTTCTTTTTCTTTGTTTATTACTTGTTCTTCGTTTGGGGGTGAAGGAGGAACATATAGGTGATATGTTGTTGACAGAAGATAGAGAGCACAGATGATGATATGCAATTTCCTTTGTTTTTGATAGACATTTTACGAATCACTACTGTGCATCTCACTCCATTTGTGCTCTCTATGCTTCTGTCATCACCTTCTTTGTCCACCTTCTTTAGCTTTGCTTTCCTTTTGCTGTCTCCTTTTTCTTGATTTGTAGTTAATTTTATGTGTTGTTCTATTTAAAAGTCTTTTAAAACTCTCAAGCATTATCTTAAAGTTGTGAATTTGTGTCACTTGAGCGATTAGTGAGCTGTTTGTCCTAAGAAATGAGCTGATTTCTGTGTTGGGTGTTTTGTGTTTGAGTTCAAATTGTGCAATTTTCAAGTCTTGTTTTGACAAGGGTTTTGAGTTTCACATTCTTACATCTTTTCTTCCACTTTCCCTTTTTGATCATCAATACTGGTCCTTTGGTCCCGTAGATTGTGAGGTTTCATATCAGTTTGAGATGAGAACGAACCATTTCTTATCAGAGTCAGTCACTGGATGATGCACGACACTAATCGGAGTAGGGCTAGACCGTCTCCATAGTACCTTGAGGAGAAGTCCGGAAGGAAAAGTCCAAAGGGACAATATTGGCTAACGGTCAAACGACTCATTTTTGGGTGAATTGAGCAAAGAAAGGATCATAGATGCACTTGATGTATTTGTATAAGATTAAACATTTGATTTCAAATGAGTTGATGATGATGTTGTTCTTGTGTTTGGAAATGAATGCAGGAAATGATGAAGGGGTGCAGCATATCTTAATTACAAAGATGCTATATGCCATGAGATATTGAGAGATTAAAGGGAATATTCCTCAAAAGAGAAGCAAAAAAACGAGGCTCTCACACGGATCCTTCTCAGACATCTTGATCCAGTGGGTTTGAGACAAGATTGATATTAATGATCTACTAATGTTTCACCTTGTTATGCATGTGGATTAAGAGACATAATCCTAGTTAGTGTTCTTTGTTATGCATGAAGAAGGAGTTGTTTTTGTTGGTGGGTTGATGAGTAGCTAATGATAGACAGTGACAGCCCTTTGTGTGTGTTGTTGGAGCAAATAAGAAGCACACAAAAGAGGAAAGATTCCACTTGACTCTGCCCTTGTGGTCTCCCCCCTCCACCCACTTTCATTCACTTAATTCATCGCCTTCATTCATAACATGTACCCAACTTTGGAATCATAATATTCAAACTGCCTTCTATTTTTCTTAATCAACATACATGAGCATCGGATCGGATGTTATGATTCATATCAGTATTTGTTTCGAGTCGATTTTCCTTTAGTCCTTGAAAATGTGATGAATGTATCGTTGAATCGAGCAACTCCAAGTCGAGGAAGCGCTCTGCGGAAGATCTAAGAATCAACAAGCCCAAATATAGATCTCGTTCAAGAAATTCTCTTCTACTTTAACTTTACCATTGCCTTTTTGTTTTTTACTCTCTCTCATCAAAGCAAATGGCAAGTTGCAGGTACACCTTAAAAGCTAAGATGGTAAAGGAACAGTATGAGATTTCACATCGATTGGAGAGGAGAACGAACCATTTCTAAGGTGTGGAAACCTTTCCCTAACAGAAGTGAACCATTTAACCTCTTTCTAACAGACGCGTTTTAAAACCATAAGACTGACGGCAAGCGAATAATATTTGCTAGGAGTGGACTTGTTGTTAGCCTTTCTTCCCTGGCCAAATCTATCGAATATCTACATAAACTGCCAGTCAAACCAATTGGCAAATCATTTTTTCTCATGCAAGAGGCAACCCAAAAGGTCCAGATATGAGTTTCCATATGTAACCAAAAATAAAAAGTGCTCCATTATCTAAGGCAAACGCCACAAAAACAACACCAATAACAGCGTGGTTCCACTCCAAGACTTGCACATATTAATATTCTTGGAGATGGTGATAAGAGCGACAGCCCCAAATGGACATTGTCGAGTCAGAATCACATAGAATGTGTTTGGCACTGCAGAGGGGGGCTTGTCAACGCCACCTTATTGGCTCTGCCAAAGCTGCTGCAGTGCGCTGTGGCAGTGTTGTCAACCACAAAGCCTCCATGGCTGCATTTGCCATATCATCGCTTTGTTACAAACAAACACATTCTGTTATGTTATTTTCATCTTACCTGGCGTCTCTCTGTCTCTGTCTCTGTCTCTGTCTCTGTTTTTGTGCTTCCACAATCAAAAGCAAATGTTACTGTTCTGCACAAATTAAGTGAATTCTATGAGACAAAACGTTACCAAATAACAGCCATAGCTTTACCTGTAATGGAAACATGATAAAGATGAAGAAGTAATCACACTCTTTTGAATCGATAACCGTATACGAGCGAACGTATTCATTTCGTAGAGATGTTCAAATAGAAGCATTAGGAAGAAACACATTCAAATATACTACATTCCAAACTTGCTATATAGACAAGTTAATCTACTATGGTATCTTCAACCATCAGGATATCAGCTTAAGCAATTATTTCTAATGACTATATGTTAATACATTCATAGAACTGCCTAGATCAAGGGTATGATGAGATTTCAACATGACCCTTGACGAGTTGATTCGGGACGTGCATTGTCACCGTCGTCCCTCAGTGAGCGGGTGTGAAGCTTCCGTGTAAAACTGGTAGTTGTGTCCAAGAAATAGAGAACACATAACAAAATGCAGCAACAAGCAAACATAGGAATTGGCCCAAAAATCCAGAGGAAGAGAGGGAATGAGAAGTAGAATGCTCGCAAGCCAACGGACCAGAAGAAACTGCCTCGATTCAAGTTTCTGGCAACATATTGAATAGAGTCTTCTTGATCTCTCCATGTAGGAACGGTGGCCAAGAAACTTACATGAGCATAGTATCTTATTGACTGGACATTGCATAGAAAAGCAACAAGGAAGCATAGCAAGATTGAGAAGTACTTGATTGAAGTACAAAGGTCAGACTTGTTGCCATAAATTAAATGAAGTTTTGCATTACTCGTATCCGATGAGCTGGTCACAAAAACACCAATTAACGAACAGAGAGTTATTGCTGTTGTGGCTAAAAGTGTAGATGCCATTATGTTGTTTCGTATTGTTTGAACAGCTAAAACACCATTCTTCACTGGATCCTGAAAATCAAACATCGATTCACATACAAGCCTCGAGCATGCAGGACAGAAATCTTAGAACTAAAGGTATACAAAACTGTATTAGTTATGTGAAAATAACATGGAAAACCGTGATTTCTGTGACAAGAAGTGGCTCATTTAATGGTGAACATCATGTTAGGAGATCTACTTTAATGGAGCCATTGAGCTCTGTTAAAATAGCTGCACGAGTAGCGATTCATCTGAACGTCTAGATTGTTATTGTAGAACTGAACTTAGATGGAGGCTAAGTGTAACAGCCTAACCAACCACTAGCAGATATTGTCTTCTTAAGCTTTTCCTTTTGGATTTCCCCTCAAAATTTTTAAAACACGTGTGTTAGGGAGAGGTTTCTACACCAATGTAGGATCTCACACTATGTTAGAACTTTCGGTTTTCACCGGAACTTGTGGTTTCGCTAAAGAAAGACAATATCCACTCATGAAGATGATTTTCCCATGCTATCATCTTCATTTCATAAAATTATGACCTCTAAAAAAGGCTGGTTGGCTTGAGAGTTCCTATAATTCTCATATGTGTATATACAGCCCCAGGCCACCGCAAGCAGATATTGTCTACTTTGGCCCATTACGTATAGCCATCAGCATTATAGGTTTTAAAACGCGTCTACTAAGGAGAGGTTTCCACACCCTTAATAAAGAATGTTTTGTTCCCCTCTCCAACCAACGTGGGATCTCACAATCCACCTCCATTCGGGGCCTAGTGTCCTCGCTGGCATAGTGCCCATAACCCATTCATCTATCTTTTTTCTCAAACACAATTCCATAACTACAACAGGGACCATAAGAGCACAAGAACAGAATCGAATCATTACCCAGCAGATCTGATACAATTTACACATCAAAATTCAATTAACAAAGCACTTATTGCATAATTGTCTAGTTAGAAAAAGATAATGTCAATGACGCACAATTTCCAATAACAATTCCCGCCCTCCAAAGAGATTATGAAACTCAGGAACTTACAGACATCATGCAAAGCACCCATTGGTGGCGGGACTCGGCGTTGATGCCAATGACCGTCCGCCTAGGATGCCGAATTACAATAAAGACCAACCATGCGTGGTAGACAGTCAACAAAAAGAGACCAAGTGGCACCAGCACAAAGTCAATAGCAGCCTCCTCCATTGCAGCTCCACACTCAACTTTCTCTTCTCGCTTCTGATTTTCGCTATCTCTAATCCATTTAAGCCAAAGGCCCGAATAAGATAGACTGAGATTGAAGCAAAGGAGGTGCAAACCAGATCCTTGCTGGAAAAGCCAGTCGAGTAGTTCCTATCAAGAGGCTTCAATTCTCAGACAACGGAATCAGATCCAACTCGCTCGCTCGAACAAGAATCGCCTATTTTTGATTGGGAAAGACGAATATGAAAAACGATTTGGCTTTAGAACCATGATGAAAAATTTCAGTTAGTTATTTAATTAAAATATTTGTAATACAATTTATTTAATTTGATATATATATATATATATATATATTTGTATGCATGGTGTGACATTCGTACAAAGTCAACAAATTCAGACGCGTATGCTCGAGTCTAGAGTCACGTTTTAGATAAATATTTTGGAAAACGTGAGCGAAGAAATATGTCAAAAACAATTTGAAAAAAACAATGCTATAAGCTTAAAGCAATTAAGCAGTAACAACAATTTTGATAGCATATAACCCGGGTAGAAAGAAGTGATAACTAGTAATATCCCCTAGAGCACATTTCTGGGCATTTTAGCCCTGATGATGTGGACTTAAATGGGTAAGCGCCTGTGAACAACACGTCCTGAACTAGACCAGGACATTCGACGTGTGGCCATAGGCAATATGCCTTAGACAAGCATGACCGTAACACATGGCATCCCGGCTAAACCTCCTAAAAATTTAATCGAAAAAACTAAGAGATGGAATCAAATGGAGGCAGAAACGAGGAAGTCATCTCATTTCTACCCTCGGTGAATATCCATAATTTTATTAGTAATGACTTATTGTCACTTTTAGAGAATACGATTAATTTTCAAACCTTACTATATTATAGGTTATTAATGTTGTCGTGTCTCGTTGTTTGGTAGCCTATAACATACTTTCTAAAAAACATACATTCTCTAACGCCATTTTCTAAAAACTTTTTCTAGTAACAGAGGTAGAGAGGCCATAAGATAGGGCATTTATCGAGAGTGTCGAGAGCGAATGCTACACAATTGTTACGTGAGTCTTGAGAAGTGATAACCAAGAATATGATCAAACCAACAAACCAACCGACTAAGAATATCTTCCACAAGCACCAACACGTTTATAGTGTTGGTTTCATGCTTAGATATGTATCAATGTGTACGATCAAACAATGAGGACATTCGACACCGAGTAACATAGAGGTACATGAATGAACTAAAACCACATCCTAATGAGAGAGATTCTGAGGATAGAATGACCAAGACATACTTAACGAAAACAAAAGTTACTACTTGTACTAACAAGGTGCACATTCCTTTTTTGTGACTCTTTCATAGCAACTTCTGCGAGCAATTCTATATTGAGTGACTTTCTACGAATTTCCCTGAAACGCACGTAAGCGAGGACAAAATATGCTAGAAGGATCTATGTTGGTCTGTGAGGATAGTTTTCATCCTTAACAAACGAGAAGTAGGTAACATGACCATGTCATAGGGAAATATCGAGGTCATCCAAATTCCAAATCCTAAACATGGAGCATTACAGAGGTACTATGTATCCAACACGTTTCAATGCCTAAATACGGAATCATAGCAACAATGAGGGACCCAAACCCCTTGAGTTGACCATGGTCAACTCATAAAGTTTCTTCTCGTATTTGGGTTCGAAACCAACAAATTTAAGGGCTTTTCTTGCACTTTCAAGCTATTTGGGCTCGGCCCACCAATTCAAGTGTCATTTAATACTTATTTTTTTTCTATAGAATAAATAATCAACTCAACTATAGTTCAATCGGTCTAGAAGAAAACATGATAGGACTATATTTTCTAAACTTACATTTTTATTAAATTAGGTTAAGTTAATAAGACTTTTAATAAAAAGAATAAACCAAAGAAACGATACCCTAAACAAAACCCTGGAATTACAGGTCGAAGGGGTTGAGCGTTGGAACGAACTAAACAAGTTCCGCGACAAGAACGTGGAGCACCAGCCTCATCTGCCTGCGCAAGTCGCTTCTCCAACTATCCAAAACCCCAATTTCAGAAAATGGTTTCCAACTTCTGCAACTAGAAACCATCACTTCCATCCCACCAATGCCTTACTCAACCTTCTTCAACGCCTATATCAGGACTTCCATGTCCGTCTCCCTCAGAACCACTTCATCGGCTCCGTTCTGCACAGCTTCAACGCGCTTCAGGCCTTGGTTTCCTCACCTTTTCACCCGGAACCTGTCCATGGGGTTTGTCAACTTGCAGTGCCGTCCAGGTTCCGTCACTGGTATTCGTTGTACGAGCCAATCCAAGTGGATTGAAGTTGCGTTGAGGGAGAAACAGCAGGACCATGTGAGGGGTTTTAAGCAGAGGAATGTTGCGTTTCCGTTTTTGCAGCATCAGTCCTGCTCCAATTATGGTCGGTTTGCGTATGATGATGTGTCTAGTGATGATTCTGATGTCGAATTTGGGTCTCCGCATGGGCAAATGGTATGTTTCTTTTGTTTGTTGAATTTCGAATGTTTACAGCTTTTAGAGTTTATATAGAAAAAGAAACGGAAGTGTTATGGAATTTTATTTAGCTCCTCGAGACAAAGATTGGAGTTCTGTTTAATGATTTTAGTGTCGAAATGCCGAGCAAATTCACGGAGAATAAGAATGTCAATTAATGATTACCTTACGAACATTGAGTTAAGTAGCTAGCACAAAAATATATTGGCTGGATTTTGGAATTCCCTATAACTCATGTTGTTCATGATTTCCAGAATTCATCAACCCTTGAGAACGTAGATGAGTGGAAATGGAAGTTAACTATGCTTCTACGGAACAATGACGAACTAGAAGTAGTCTCAAGGGAGAAAAAGGATAGACGTGATTTTGATCAACTTTCAGCATTGGCAACCAGAATGGGTTTGCATAGGTATTTCAACTTCATTGTTTTCGTTTGAATACTGTTTTTATATTTACTTCAGCTCATATATCATATGACGTTTATTGACATTGTTTTCTATTACTTTGGCAGCCGTCAATATGCAAAAGTTGTTGTATTTAGTAAATACCCTCTGCCGAATTACAGGCCAGACCTGGATGATAAGCGACCACAGAGGGAGGTATTTATTTTTTCATTCCCAAATTTGCTAGAGTTCTTTCTACTTCATTTAGATCATGAATAATACAGCTTACTCTCTATTTAGTACTCAATTAGATGGTTTGCAATGCAATGAGTATTGTTGTGAGGATTAGTATACTAATTAAGTATACCTTCTTCTTCTTTTTCTTTTTCTTCCTTTTGTTGTTATTTATTTATTTTCTTTCCATCTTGAGTAATGAGTCAAATTATATTCATTGTCATTTGCAGGTGGTCTTACCTTTTGGGGTCCAAACGGAAGTTGAAGGCCGTCTAAGATTGTACCAATCTTCTCACCATTCTGTGACAAGAGGACGTTTCTCAAATAGTTACTTGCCAAAATCTGGCATTGCTGAAATCTGTGCTAACAATAATGGAGTGTTTGAGCACCAGGAACCTTCAACAACACAAAGTCTTGTCATGGAGAAAATTCTTCGCCGCAAAAGTTTGCAAATGAGGAATCAACAGCAAGATTGGCAGGTTTCTTTTTATCTTTTTATGTATTTATATACAACCGTCTGTTAGAACGTAAAGTGTACACTATTTTTATCATTGAGTTGTGAAGTCTCACTCAATCTATTTTAATTATAAACTTAAAATTTATGCATCCGCAGATGATCATTCTTGTTAACTAGACCAGTGGTAGTTTCTTATGTGATATTAATTTTTTGGAAATTACATAGAAGTTACATGGTAAGGCATCCTTCAACTATAGAACTAGTTTCAGAAAAATTGCCCATTTAAAATAGGTGAGGTACTTTTAGGGTCTAACACTACTTGAATTATCCCAGGAAACTGAGGCAGGCTGAAGGTTTTCTTGTATTTAAACTGTTCATTATTGATGGTGATGTCATGGATATGAAATTTCTCTATAATAGAAGAAACCAATCCCTCATTTCACATAGATACGTCCGTAGTCCGATTTCACGTTCAATCACATGTGATTCATAATTTTCTGCTGGTCCTTGTATTTGTATGGATCTCTTTCTTTTTGGAGTCGGCATTTCCTAACTAATCAATTTGTTGAAGTTCTTGCTTGTTTGACATGTGATAATTCTCTAGGAATCTCTTGAAGGCCAAAAAATGATGGAATTTCGCAAAAGTCTCCCAGCATTTAAAGAGAGGGAAACATTGTTGAAGGCCATTTCAGAGAATCAGGTACCCGAATATGCCAAATGATTAGCACAATTCACTCTGAGGTATAAACTTATCATTATGAATTGACTTAAAGAGACGATATGCAGGTAGTTGTTGTCTCTGGTGAAACTGGTTGTGGGAAAACCACGCAGCTTCCTCAGTATATATTAGAATCTGAGATTGAAGCTGCTCGTGGAGCTTCTTGTAGTATTATCTGTACTCAGCCTAGACGTATTTCTGCCATGTCTGTTTCTGAAAGAGTTGCTGCAGAACGTGGAGAGAAACTGGGAGAGTCTGTAAGTTGCAGAATTGATGTTTTTATTTTTTTCACTTTTCTGGGTAAGATTTTGACTTACTAAATACTTGAGTCTTTTTTTTCTTTTCTTGGAAGGTTGGTTATAAAGTTCGGCTGGAGGGTATAAAAGGAAGGGACACTCGTCTTCTCTTTTGCACCACTGGTGTACTATTGAGAAGATTGCTTGTTGACAGAAATTTGAAAGGTGTAACTCATGTTATTGTTGATGAGATTCATGAACGTGGAATGAATGAAGGTAATATTAAAATATTAAGATATTGTACCATGGATTAATTTTTTTGAAAATTTTTATGAAATGAACCAAGTTATATCTTTATATTTTAATGAAGGTGACTTGAAGATTTAGATTAACCAGCTTATGTCTTTCTTCCAGATTTTCTTGTGATTGTCCTGAAAGATCTTCTTCCTCGACGGCCAGATTTGAGGTTGATCTTAATGAGTGCAACTCTAAATGCAGAACTTTTTTGTTCTTATTTTGGGGGTGCTCCAACAATGCATATTCCTGTAAGTTTATATCAATTATAAGCTTTAATGGACAAAAATGAATGGAAATATCTTCTTTCCTCCCCCCGCCCACAGTTGTTTCTGAGTTGGGTTTTCGTATTCAAGATTCAAATATCTATCTTTACTCTTACCATTTGCGTTATAATTAAG